ATATTTCATGGAAATGGAACTGAGTAAAAAGCTGGAGTAGTTATACTTACATTAGATAAAATAGACTTTAAATTGAAAAATACAATAAAGGACAAAGACGGGCACTTCATAATAATAAAGGGATCGATCCAACAAGAAGACATAATCCTAGTAAACATCTATGCACCTAACATAGGAGCCCCTAAATATATAAAACATATTTTGACAGACATAAAGACAGTGATCAACAGTAACACTATCATAGTAGGGAACTTCAATACCCTGCTGTCACCAATGGACAACACCACCACACATAAAATTACTGTGGAAACAGTGACGTTAAATGACACATTAGACCAGTTGTATTTAACTAATATTTTCAGAACATTTCACTCCAAATGTACAGAATATTCATTTTTTTCAAGTGCACATGGAACATTTTCCAAGATACACCAAAGGTTAGGCCACAAAACAAGTCTCAACAAACTTAAGAAGATTGAAATTATATCAAGCATCTTTTCTGACCACAGGGCTATAAAACTAGAAGTCAACTATAAGAAGAAACCCGGAAAGCACACAAATACATGGAGGCTGAATAATATGCTACTAAATAGCAAATGGGTCAATAATGAGATCAAGGAGGAAATCAAAAGATACCTCAAGACAAATGAAAATAAAAACACCATGACCCAAAATCTATGGAATGCAGCAAAAGCAGTCCTAAGAGGGAAGTTCATAACAGTGCAAGTCTATCTAAAGAAACAAGAAAAAAACTCAAATCAACAGGTTATCCTTACACATCAGGGAACTGGAAAAAGAACAGCAAAATAAGCCCAAGCAAGTACAAGAAAGGAGATAATAAAGACCAGTGTGGAAATGAATGATATAGAGACCAGAAAACAATACAAAACATCAACAAAACCAAGAGCTGGTTTTTTGAGAAGATAAACAAAATTGACAAACCTTTAGCCAAACTCATTAAAAAAGAGAGAACTCAGATTAGTAAAATCAGGAATGAAAGAGGTGAAGTGACAACAGACACCACAGAAATATAAAAAATATTAAGAAATTACTATCAGCAACTATATGCCAACAAATTTGACAATCTGGAAGAAATGGATAATTATCTAGAAGCATACAACCTTCCTCAAGAGGAAACAAAACACCTGAATAGACTGATTACTACCAAGGAAATTAAATCAAACTATTCCAAAAAATCTAGAAAAAAGGAAAGCTCCCAAAGTCTTTCTATGAAGCCACTATCACCCTGATTCCAAAACCAGACAAAGACAGTACAAAAAGGGGAAACTACAGGCTGATATTCCTGATGAACATAGATGCAAAAATCTTCAACAAAATATTAGCAAACAGAATTTAGCAATATATGAAGAAGATCATACACCATGATTAAGTGGGTTTCATCCCTAGTATGCAAGGTTGGTTCAATATCCGCAAATCAATTAATGCAATACACCACATCAACAAAATGAAAAATAAGAATCATATGGTCATATCAATAGATGCAGAAAAAGCATTTGACAAAATACAGCAGCGATTTATGATAAAAACTCAGCAAAGTGGGAATAGAGGGATCATATTTCAACATAATAAAGGCCATATATGATAAACCCACCGCTAACATCATACTCAATGGAGAGAAGCTAAAACCATTCCCCTTAAGATCAGGAACAAGACAAAGCTGTCCACTTTTTCCACTTTTATTCAACACAGTTCTGGAAGTTATAGCCACAGCAATCAGACAAGAAAAAGAAATAAAAGGCATCTAAATCAATAAGGAGGAATTACAATTGTCATTATATGTAGTTGACATGATACTAAATATAGAGAACCCCAAAGACTCCTTCAAAAAACCATTGGAACTGATAGACGAATTCAGTAAGGTAGGAGGATACAAAATTAATAGTCAGAAATCAGTTGCATTTGTATATAAAAATAATAAACTATCAGAAGGAGAAATTAAGAAAACAGTTTCATTTACAATTGCTTCAAGAAGTATAAAATATTTAAGAATAAATTTAACCAAAGAAGTAAAAGACCTGTACTCAGAAAATTATAAGACACTGAAGGAAGAAATAAAAGAAGACACAAATAAATGGAAACAACTATCATGCTCATGGATAGAAAGAATTAATACAGTTAAAATGTCCATACTGCCTAAAGCAATATATAGATTTAATGCAATTCCTATCAAACTACTCAGGGCGTTTTTCACAGAAAAAAATATATAATCCTAAAATTTATATGGAACCATGAAAGACCCGAATAACCACAGCAATCCTGAGAAATAAGAACAAAGTTGGGGTATCATGCTACCAGACATCAAAACGTACTACAAGACTATAGTAATCAAAACAGTATGGTACTGGCATAAAAACAGGCACATAGATCAATGGAACAGAAAAGAGAGCCCAGAATTAAATCCATGCATATACAGGCCATTAGTCTATGACAATGGAAGCAAGAATTTACATTGGAATAAAGATAGTCTGTTTAATAAATGGTGCTGGGAAAATTGGACTGACACATGCAAAAAAATGAAACTAGACCACCTCCTTATGCCATATACAAGAACAAATTCAAATGGGTTAAAGACTTAAATGTAAAACTGAAACTATAAAAATCCTAGAAGAAATATAGGGAGTAAATTTGCAGACGTTACCTTGAGTAATATTTTTACTGATACATCCCTGTAGGCAAAAAAAGGAAAAGAAAAAATGAACATATGAGATTACATCAAACTTAAAATTTTTTCACAACAAAGGAAACCATCAATATAACAAAAAGGAAGCCTAATAAATGGGAGAAAATATTTGTTAATTATATATCTGATAAGGGGTTAATATCCAAAATTTATAAAACACTCATTCAACTCAACACCAAAAAAACAAACAACCCAATTAAAAAATGGACAGAGGATATGAAGAAACATTTCTCTAAAGAGGACATACAGATGGCCAACAGGCATATGAAAAAATGTTCAACCTCACTAATCATTAGGGAAATGCAAACAAGAACCATAATGAGATACCACCTTACACTGATCAGAATGGCTATCATCAATAAATCAACAAACAACAAGTGCTGGCAAGGTTGTGGGGAAAAGGTAACCCTGGTGCACTGTTGATGGGATTGCAGATTGGTGCAGCCACTATGGAAATCAGTATGGAGGTATCTCAAAAAACTGGAAATGGAACTACCTTATGACCCAGCAATTCCACTCTTAGGTATTTATCCAGAAAAACACAAGATATTTATTTGAGAAAATATATGCACCCCTACATTCATTGCAGTGCTATTTACAATAGACAAGACTTGGAAACAATTGAAATGCCATCAGTAGACGTCTGGATTAAGAAACTGTGGTACATTTACACAATGGAGTATTACTCCGCATAAAGAAGAATGAAATTGTATCATTTGCAACGATATGGGTGGACATTATGCTAAGTGAAATAAATCAGAGAAAGACAAATACCATATGATCTCACTTATATGTGGCATCCAAAGAACTTAATTGTTGGGAGCCAATTGAGGACAGTTGGGGATACTGAGGCTGTGGCAAACTGCTACATGTCTCTATACAGGACCCTATGCCTAAGGAAGCAGCTGGATAAGAGAGTCTGCTTAGTAACTGCATATGCAAGGCCTGGACACTCCCAAAAGTATCCATTCCCACAGCAAGCCAACCGCAGAGCCCATCATAAGGCTTGTTTACAGTTTCACTATGGACTCATTGCTTAGGGGATTTCAGGCCTCCCAAAATATCTGGCCCTAATTCCTGATATCTATATGCCTACACACCCAAAGCCCCCTGCTGAAACCCCCTACCAAAATCCCCTGTGCATAGCTAGGGAAATTTCCCTGCAAAAGAGGAAGTTACTTTCTATATAACCAGTGTGTATCCAATAAACAGTGGCACTTTCTGCCACCCGCAGGAAAGTTTCCCTCCTGGTCCCAGCTTTTGTCTCTATTCCTTTATTTCTCATCTCCCACCCAATCCTCTCAGGGACCTTTTTGGTGAGCTCCTGGCTGACGAGCCAGGGGTGTTCGGTTGAGTGAGCTGGTCTCATTCACTTAATAAATGAGTAATGTAAACAGAAATAGACTCAGAGACACAGAGGAAAAACTGATGATTGCTGATGGGACAGGGGTGGGGATGAGGACAAAGGGGAAGGGATGAGAAAACATAAATCGGTAACTACAATATTGCCTCAGGGATAGAAAAGGCAGTTTGGGGAATATAATCAATAATGTTATAAATACTTTTTAGGGGGCCAGATGGTCTCATGTTATGTTAGAGAGACCATTTCATGGACTGTGTAGAGGCCTGACAACTGCACTGTACATCTGAAGCTGCCGTTGAACAATATTATGTCAACAATAATTTAATACATATATAGTCATGGGATTTGGAGTATAGTGTAGGAATGGAGTCAATGGAATTGTAATAGATATGTATGATATCGGGGTGGGGGAGCAGTGGATGGGGGAAGGAGGGCTGTCACTTTGTGAGTGGTGAAAAAGGTAACTACTGCATTGTTTTGTACACCTGAAACTACTACTAATAATAAAAAAGAAATCGCTTTTTATAACAATATTTTATGCCTATGACTCTCCAATAAATCTATTTCTACTTAGATTTTTTTTAAAGCAACCATACTTGTATACTAGAGCCATAAGTAAAAGATTTTCTACTACTAATCAACACTTTTTACACTGTGTTATATATTTGTTTGATTTTATTTTCATTTTAGTAAATACTTATTGAGTGTCAATTCTGTGCTAGCCTTTGTTCTAAATGTTGAGGATACAGCAACTAACAAGATGGTCAATGTACCTGATCTCAAGTTCACATTCTAGTTGAGAAAAATATACAACAAGCAGACAAAATTTTTAAATTAATAGAACTTTAATCAGAGTAAAGTCTATGAAGACAACCTCACAGAAAGATAGGATCAATAGCGATAGGACTCCACAACATAGCCAATGGTAAGAGAGGGCTATTTCTTACGATCTTTGTCCTTTTTTATATTGGTGCAAACCTGAGTCTGCAATATTTCAGAGCCAGCCTTCATTTTATAAAAACTTATAATTTTATCTTCCAATTGTCTTTTCTCCTCCTCAAGTTTTATTGTCTCCTCTTGTTGGGCCCTTTTAAGATGCTCAAACTTGTCCTGTAGCTGTGAAACAAATATGCAGTCATGACTCAAAACACATTATGGTGGCACATCTCCAGGAATGTGCTTGTCTTTTTTCCTGGTTATCAAACGTATATTAATCATCAGAGTAGTGCTTGATCTTAATAACAATTTTTTGTACTATTAATGCTTCCCTCTTTTGCAACCCCAACATTCTTTTTTAATATTAATTTTAAAATTTATGTTTAATCATTTTATGTTTTCATCAATTGAATTTTAAGTGACTGGATCAAATCAAATGTAATAAAATCCACAAGTATAAACAGTTCTCAATTTTCAAAATACTTTGCTTTTTCTAATGAGGTATATTTTTTCACTCTATATTTCCCAACAAATCTCTTCAAATAAGATTTGACAGATTCATGCTTACTAAATATATGTACATGAAACTATAACATGGATTTTGAAACACTTCTTGAGACTTTAATTGGTAAAGACCTTTTGAAAGAAAGTCATAATTTTTCTGTTAGGTGAAATTAGCATAATTACAGAAAGAAAAATCTTCAAGGACACAACTTAGTTAATTTTTATTTACTTGTCAGGTCTTATTTAATCTGTGGGATTTACAATAAATCAAATTAGCCATATAAAACAGATGATATCACCTTAGATTCCATTAAAGATAGGCTTGGGTCTTTAATATGTCTTTATTCAACAACTTAAAGACTGCTTGAATGCATCAGAGGAGGTAGGCATTTTAAAGCTATCACATTTATGGCATAAAACTATAGAGGACAAGCTTATTTACTGTTTAACCTTTTTGAAAAACAAATAGGCTAGAGGATTCCAATGCCATAATATTAATCAGCTGGTGTATATGGTGGCAAAAAACACAAACACAGTGTTAAACTCTAAGTGTCCATTCAAATTATTCAGTGATCTTGCAAATCTCCCAATGTTTAGGCTGCACATAGATTAATTACATCAGACTATCTGGAGCTGAAACTCAGGCATCCACACTTTACAAAAAAATTCCCAGGTAATTTTAGTGAGCAGCAAATGTTGAGATCTGTGCTTCTAAATAAAGAATTTTTCTTTTTTGTCTCCTGGAAAAAGATAACTATTGGAATTACAAATATCAGCCTTGAAAAGCAAATAAGCATATAGATACAATGGCAAGAAGAATGATTGGAAATGCTGGGGATATGAGAATGTGGTATCTGTAAGTGACAGCAAAAATCATTAAGAAAATGTTTAACATAAAGATGGGAGGGTGATAGTGGAAATCAGAGACAACTAAACTTCATGTTAATATTTAAGTATTTTAAATATCAACTACTCTGGTGAAAAGCTTGAAGTTTTTCCCCAACTCAGGTATAAGTCAAGGATGTGCCCTCTCTCTACTCCTTTTCAACATTGTACTGGAAGTTTTTGTTAACACAATAAAGCAACAGAAGGGCATAAAAGGTATACTTATTGGGAAGGAAGACATAAAACTGTCTTTTTTACAGATAAACATGATCATCAACATAAAACAATCTTAAAGAATTGACAAAAAACCTCCTGGAACTAATAAGAGATTATAGCAAGCTTGCAGGATGCAAGGTTAATATGCAAAGATTAATTACTTCTCTATATATCATTAATGAACAGTAGAATTTGAAATTAAAAACAATACCAATTGTATTAGCAGCCCGAAAAATGAGATACCTTAGTATAAACCTAACAAAACATATACAAGATTCATAAGAGGAAAACTATAAAACTTTGATTTAAAAAAATCAGAGAAGAACTATGGAGAGACAGTTCATGTTCATGGATAAAAAAGACTCAATATTGTGAAGATGTCAATTCTTCACACATAATCTAGAGATTCAATGCAATACAGATCTCAATCCCAGAAAGTTATTTTATAGATATGGACAAGCTGATTCTAAAGTTTATATGGCAAAACAAAAGGTCCAGAATATCCACCACAATATTGAACAAGAAGAAGTTTGAGGACTGATGTCACCCAACTTTAAGACTGACTATAGTAATCAAAACAATGTGATATTGGTAAAAGAATAGAAAAATAGATCTATGCAACAAAATAGCCTAGAAATAGATGCACATATACATGGTCAATTGACTAAGAAGTGAGGGTCATCACTGGAATAAAAATAATCAATTCAACAAGTGGTGCGGGGACAACTGAACATACACATGCAAAAATATGAATATAGACACAGACTTACACTCTTCATAAAAACTGACTCAAATGGATCAAAGGCCAAAATGTAAAATGCAATCCATGAAAGAAATAATTGATATGCAGGGATTTGTAAAATCAATTTTTTTCTACAGAAAAAAATGTTATTAGTAAAGAAGAACAGACTGGCAGAAAATATTTGTAAAAGACAAATATGACATAAGAATGTTATGCAAAATACACAAAGAACTCTTAAAATTCAGCAATAAGGAAACAACAACCTGATTAAAAATGGACTAAATTTTTAGCAGACACCTCCCCAAAGAAGATAGACAAATGGCAAATAAGCACACAAAAATCTATCCCATCAGGAAAAAGCAAATTCATATAACAATGAGATACCATGACACAACCACTAGACTGGCCAAAATTCAGAACACAAACAACAACAAATGTTGGTGAGAATGTGGAGCAATAGGAACTCTCAAACAATTGTTGGTGAGAATGTAATATAGTATTTGAAAAAGAGTTTATAAGAAAAATACATTTAATCCTATTAATTTATTTTAGCTTTTACTTCCCTTACTTTGAGGTCAAATTCATAAAATCCTCTTTGAACCCAAGGCCTATAAGTTTACTACCTATGTTATCTTCTATGCAGTTTATTGTTTCAGGTCTTATGTTTAGGTCTTTGATCCACTTTGAGTTAATTTTGGTACATGGTGCAGTCAATATGGAAAGCAGTATGGAGGTTCCTCAAAAACCACAAATAGAATTACAATATGACCCAGCAATCACTCATTGAGTATATAACCCCAAATTCTGCAAATATGTATCCATAAAGATATGTGTTCTGAAGTTCATTGTAGCTTTATTTATGGTGGCCAAGACATAGAAGTAACCAAAGTGTCCTTCAATAGATGATTGGATAAAGAAGATGTGGTATATATACACAATGCAATACTATTCTGTCATAAGAAAAGATGAAATAGTGCCATTTGAACAATATGGATGCATTTTGAGATAATTATCCTGACCAAAATAAGTCAGACAGAAAAACTGGAGAACCACATGATTTCACAGATATGTAAGATACAAAATTAAAAGCAACAAAAGAACAAGACAAACAAATGAAAAACAAATACTCATAGACATATACAATAGTTTAGTGGTTACAAGAGGGTAAGTGGGAAGAGGGGTGGTAGATGAGGGTAAATGTGATCAAATATATGCTGATGAAAGGAAAACTGACTCTGGGTGGTGAACACACAATGTGATAGATAGATGATGTATTACAAAATTATACACTTGAAACATGCAATTTTATTAACAATTGTCACCTCAATGAACTTTAATTTAAAAAATGAAAAAAAGAGAAAAGAAGAAAAAGACAACTTGCTACTGCAACTCAAAAATCAACTCACAGCACAAGTAAGGATAACTTGTGACTAAATAAATAAATAAATACATAAATACATAAATAGAGTGGAGACAGTAAAGGTCTAAACCTGCAAATGAGAATAGAGATAAGAAACATACTGAAGAAAAAAGACTACTGTATCTATGTAACTTTCTTTTAATTAAATTTAACAGTAACAGGTAAAAAAAATTTCAGAACTGGAATAAATAACTTAAAAAAAGAAGAAACAGAGCAAAAAAAACATAGAATACCACCACACTGAAATAAGAGACAACAACAAAAAGGTAAAAAAACAATCAAGACACCATCTTACCAGAAAACAAAGATAGGATGGTAGGAAATCTTCATACATCAATAATCATCCTAAATGTAAATGGACTGAACTCACTAATAAAAAGGCACAGGGTAGCTAGCACATTGGACCAAAAAACTAAATCCAACTATATGTTGCCTCCAAGAGACACATGTCAGCTACAAGGACAAATATAGGCTCAAAGTGAAATGGTGGAAATTGACACTCCAAGCAATTGGTATTCAGAGACAATCAAGTGTAGCCAAACTTATATCAGATGAAACAGACTTCAGGATAAAAAAGGTAGCAAGAGACAACGATGGACATTTCATAATGATAAAGGGGAGTATACAACAAGAAGACATAGCAGTCATCAATATTTATGCCCCCAATCAGGGAGCACCAAAATATAAGAGCCAACTACTAACAGAACTAAAGAGAGAAATTGACCAAAACTCACGTATAGCAAGGGACCTAAATACATCATTGACAGCTATAGATAGATCATCCAAACAGCAAATAAATAAAGAAATATCAGCCCTAAATGACACATTAGAGGAAATGGACATAATTGACGTTTACAGAGCACTTCATCCTAGAACATCAGATTATACACTCTTTTCTAGTGTACTTGAAACACTCTCAAGGATAGACCATATATTGCATAAACCTAGCCTCAGCAAATTTTTAAAAAAATGAATTCATACCAAGCTATTCCTTGATCACAAGTTTTTGAAATTGGATATCAACTGCAAAAGGAAAGCAAGAATAACCACAAATATGTGCAAATTAAATACATGTTTTAAAGAACAATTGAGTCAAAGAAGAAATAAGAGAGATCAAAAGATATGTAGAAACAAATGAAAATGAAAATACATACTATCAAAACTTTGGGAAGTAGTGAGAAAAGTAATAAGAGGGAAATTTATATTATTACAGGCCTTTCTCAACAAACAAGAAAAATCCCAGATGAATAACCTCACATTACAACTTAAAGAACTAGAAGAAAAACAAATGAAACCCAAAGTCGGCAGAAGGAAGGAAATAATAAAATTCAGAGCAGCACTAAACTAAATAGAGAACAAAAAGACAATAGAAAAAGTTGATGCAACAAAGAGATCATGCTTTGAAATGATTAA